TTAGAAACACAGCAGTAGATGTTATTTGAAATTACTTTGGGCAGGGGTTCTCAAACTTTGTGATACAACGACCCCCTAAAATGCTAAATGAATTTGTGTGAACCCCCACCCTCACTGCCCTGGGTCGCTTCCTCCCCCCTTCTCACCAGACTCCTTGCCCTCCTGGGGTTCCTTGAAGGCATTTGCAATCCTCAACACCCTTCCCCTTACAGGCTCCTTCCCCCCATCTCTTTCTCCTCTGTGCCTCTTTTCCACTCCTCATCCCTTTGGTGCCTTCTCTCTCCTCTCCTCTCCCGTGTCTCTTCTGCCTCCTCCTCTGGCCCCCACGTGCCCTTATTTACCTCTGGGTCCTCTGACCCGACCCAATCCCCGAGCCCGCTGCCCGAGGGACCCCGCCCCCTCCCAGTAAACCTCATTCCACGAGGAATAACGGGGCTGCCGACAAAGGGCTTTGATGTCGACAGGGGGAACGTCCAGGCTAGCGCGCGAGCCGACAAACAGCTGATCAGCTGTTTGTCGGCTCAGCGCAGCAGCCATGTAAATGTAAATGAAGCCGCGATCATTTAAATCGCGGCTTCATTTGCCTTTGCCTATGTGTCTAATCTACATGCCTCTGCCGACAGAGGCATGTAGTCTAGACACAGCCTAAGAGCGCAGGTGGGATTCTGTTCTTTCTTGTGCATCAAGAATATTGCTGGAGATGGGATGCCACAAGGGGAAGCGATAGCACCAGAGGGGCTGCAGATCCTCTAGCGCTTGTGATGTCAGAGAAGGAAAGAATTCACCTTGATTGTCAGTTTCCTGGAAGATTTTACAGGATGATTGACAAAAGCACTTTTTCCTTGGAGCAGGTTTGACACAGTCATTGAAAGGCAATAAACGTGGAACTGTACCATGTACGGAATTGCTCTTCCAAGTGAACTTCACATTAAAAAAAAGAAAAGAAGAATGAACAATGATCCAGAATAATTATGATTTAGGCACAAAGGCAGATGTGCAGCTTATTTTGGTCATCTTTTTTTTTTCTGTATTCACAACAATAGAAGCCATGAGCTAAGATACGACGGTCATCTTTTTTTTTCTGTATTCACAATAGAAGCCATGAGCTAAGATACGAGGGAAACATCTAAAGCATGCGTTAGACAACTGTTGACAAACTGACACCCATTACCTCATACAAACACCTGGTGACACAAGTTGCACAAGAAAGGAAACATGCTTACTTCATATACTAGTTATGATATCATTGCTAATACAAGAAAGTAATGGCAATCTCTAGGCACTTAAAAGTTTACAGAAAAATCTTTAGTGCTTTCCCATGCTACCTGAAAACATATTAATCAGTCTTAACTGGTATCAAACGTGTATTTCTAGGCTTTAAAAACACTAGTAAAAGGAAAGGTGAGTAGCATGCAGCGCTAGTCTAAGGACATGATCTATGTATCAAGGACATTAATAATATGAAGGTGGGAGAAAGACATGACACCAGAAGAAACCAGCATCAAACGCAATTTAGATCAATGAAGAGGGTAGAAGCAGCTTGGTGTTTTTCATAACTACTTCCCTTCTGGTTTTTATTGGGTGAGAAAATGTATGAAAACCCTCAAAGGCAACAGGTAAATTTCCTCAGCGGGCCCCAGCACCTACATTCACTGCGTACACTAAATTTTAAAAATTCAGTTAAAATCGACCCAGATGATTCATAGTGTTTGCTATGGGACGGGTGCTCTCAGCAGGGTGATTATAGGAGGGCCAGAGGGCAGTGCCAGAATCTCAGGGATGCTTAGGATTCTAGCAAGGTATGCCACCTGCAGACCTGCTGCCCTTTTGTTTCTTTCATTTCCTGCCAGTGGTTTTGCTCTTCTTCTCCGCTGCTGTTCTGACCCATAGAAATCCAGCCAATCATCTCCTTGCGCTTCATGCTGCGCCGGTTATAGATGGAGATCATCAGTGTCACGTCAGAAAGCTGGAACAGGGCAATCTGGAAGACGAATGTCTCCTTGTAGATGGGGTTTGGTTGGCCTCGACGGATGGATGTCTTGCAACGAGACATCTCCTGGCCCATGGAGTTGAGAAGGCAGAGCTTTCCATAGGTGTCTGGCAATAGAGAGAGGAGAAAAACTATTTAGCCTTGTCGCTACCAGCGAAGGAATATCAAGGGGCCAAATAAAGCAAATGGGAGATTTGTCTGAGCAAGCATTGAGTGAAAGCTGAAGGCCAGATCACTCCTTTCCATCATAAAACCCATGGGGGGTATAAAAAGGGAGGAAAACTCTGAGGATTTCTTCTTGGAGTTCCTCATCATTCAGTCTGAGTGGGCAGGCCAGGTTTACCCCTTGGCCTCATGCAGTAAATCGCAGGTCGGCCGCTAAACCCACCGGGTCCCACTGGAAGACCGCCACCATCTCCATGGAATCTCAGCTCCAGCTGAAGTTCTAGCACCCCCTCTCCACTTTTTGGCAGTTTGGAGTTGTTCCATCAGGGTCTCCCCTGGCTACACCTATCTGCCATTAAAAGGCGGCAACTACCACCTACTATCCTGGACAGACCATGACCCCAGGGTCTCTTCCAGTCCTATGGATCTATGATTGTATGATATTACCTCCACCACCACTATATGTTTTCTACAGTCAAAATCCCCAATCTTATAATTCCACAAATCTTATTCCATGCAATCTTACAGCTTATTCCTGTTTGCAGGTAACTTAAAAACTCTAACCTTTTTAAAATTCAAAGACCAAATGTCTACAATTTTATATCACCTCTGAGTGCACCGAAGATAGGAAATAAATTACAACCCACTGTCTCCTTCCTACAGCTCGTCTATCCTTTTCTATTCCTGTTTGATGTGCTATGTTACGCACTTATCTGCTGAGAAACACAAGGTGCGAAATTACACTTCAGGTGTGAAAACACTTCTGTAGCTCAAAAGCAGGGCTCTCCATTCCTCAAACTGTTCCACTGAAAAAAGCTGTCAGGAAACTGACAATTGAGGAGTAAATTGTGAGGCTGCACAGCTGTACAACTCTCAGGTTATTGCAGGAAAAGTTCAGTCCTATCACCAGCTAGCTATGACAATTTGGCTGCCAACATCACACTAGCGACACAGTAAATCTTGCCAACAAAGATCTTCTCCACAGAGAGAAAAAAAGAGTAATTTTGTCTTTCTTCTGTCATAAAATAATTTGCTCATTGTGGCTGGGAAAGGAAAAAAACCCACTTAAAATACAAGAAATGTGAATAGCACAAAGCAGACTACTGGTCCATTTATTCTACCGAAAGCTGACCCTTATTTCCTGCAGGGTGGCTCGCAATTTTGGTGGCACACAAACTGAATCTTGCTGCAGCTTCAGATACAATAAAAACAAAACAGAGGGGTTTTTTTGGGGGGAGAGAGGGAGGTTTGTTTGTTAGCTGGATTGTATCAGAAAACAAACAAAATGACCAGCAAAGGATTCCTGGTGTTAAACATAGTGGCTACGTCTAGACTGGCATGATTTTCCGGAAATGCTTTTAACAGAAAAGTTTTCCGTTAAAAACATTTGCGGAAAAGAGCGTCTAGATTGGCAAGGACGTTTTTCTGCAAAAGTACTTTTTGCGGAAAGGTGTCCGTGCCCATCTAGATGCGCTTTTCCGCAAAGAAGCCCCCATTGCCATTTTCGCGATCGGGGCTTTTTTGCAGAAAACAAATCTGAGCTGTCTACACTGGCCCTTTTGCACAAAAGTTTTGTGCAAAAGGACTTTTGCCCGAACGGGAGCAGCATAGTATTTCCGCAAGAACACTGACAATCTTACATGAGATCGTCAGTGCTTTTGCGGAAATTCAAGCGGCCAGTGTAGACAGCTGGCAAGTTTTTCTGGAAAAGCAGCTAATTTTCTGGAAAAACTGGCCAGTCTAGACACAGCCAGTGAGTTTAGTTTATTTTACTTTATGGCTGCACTATACAAATACGTCATGATGAAGCCAGAGGCTCTAGCCACTACTGAGGGTACAATGGGGGCTTCTTGATATTAGAACTGGTTGGGGGTGTTAGGAGTTTTAAGAACATTTTTGGGAAGTTTTGTCCCTGCACAAACAGGCCCTTGCTGCAGAAAATTTTGTTTTAGGTCAGGGACAGTCTCTCCCCAGGGGAAATTCAAGATGGAAATTTTAAACTTGGTTCCAAGTAGGAACTAAGTGCAATGGTTCTCTATTCTTGGTCTACTAGTTCCTGGGACAATATTTACTTCAACTTAAACCAATAGAGGCCAGGAGAAAGTAATGACTGAAATCTCCACTGAGATACTTAAGGTAGGTTTTGGACAACCTCGGAGTCTAGCAGTTTGGAGATTAGAACATAATATAAGAATGTAAGAATGGTCGTACTGGGTCAGACCAAAGGTCCATTTAGCCCAGTAGCCTGTCTGCTGACAGTGGCCAGCGCCAGGTGACCCAGAGGGGGTGGACCGAAGACAATGATCAATTTCTATCCCCTGGCTAGTAGCCTTTTATGGACCTAACCTCCATGAAATTATCTAGCTTCTCTTTAAACTCTGTTATAGTCCTAGCCTTCACAGCCTCCTCTGGCAAGGAGTTCCACAGGTTGACTACACGCTGTGTGAAGAAGAACTTTCTTTTATTAGTTTTAAACCTGCTACCCATTAAATTCATTTGGTGTCCTCTAGTTCTTCTATTTAGGGAACTAATAAATAACTTTTCTTCATCGGCCCTCTCCACACCACTCATGATTTTATATACCTCTATCATATCC